ATAATTAGGAAACGTTTTTTTTTTATTTATAGCCATATGAGATTTAGTTGACATGAATCACTTAAATTTTCTATTTTATATAAAGATTGATTTCGAATCAAAAAATATTTGAAGATTAAAAAAATGATTTAATTAATCCCGATTCTTGAACCCACACATTAAAAGACAACAAAATACAAGTCTAAAAGAAAACACTAAGATCTCAAAAATAATTTCCTTCAATCCTTTGATTACTCTGGCTTATTCTGAATTCTATTGATTATTAAATTCATTAAAAGTAATCTTTTAAATTTTGTTTAACTTAATTCATGAAGAAATTTTTAATTTACAATCACTATATAAATAAATTAATTGGGTGGATGGATCAGACATCTGGTGACAATTAAACGTAATACTGAATTTTATTTAAAATATCTCACTTGATTATTTTAATGGTCAACATTAAATCTATTTAAAATTTAATACAAAAATATTATTTTTTAATAATTTAATTAATTTTTAATAAATTAATATTAATTTTTGTATTTAAATTTTAAATAAAACTATATAAATGACTGAGTAAGGGTTAACCAACCATATATGATGTTTTCTAATTTTATTGAATTTATCTGCAAAAATATATTAATTTATATTGCATATCTGAATATTAAATATATTTTATAAATTAAATTTTAAAGCTGCATGTTTATAAAAACGGAATTATTAATTTTTATTTGCTTTTTATACATAATATTCGCAAGCAATTTTATTTTTAAAACTTCAAAAAACATTTATTTACCGTAAAGTTTTTGAAAAATTTCATTAAAAAAATAAATGATTACATACTCTATTAATATTCAAATTGAAATTTAAAGTTGATGACATTATTTTCAAAAAAATTATTTTTTCAATCTGCTTGAAATCATTCTAATATTATCTTTAAAAAAAAAATGTGTACATAATTTATGTATAAAAATAGCGACCAATAACAAAAATGACGTCATAACTTTCCTTAAAAAAATTTAAATATAATTTCTAATGTAACAAGATTAATTTAAAAACTAAACTAAGTACAATAATTTAGATTTGATGTGCTATATAAGAATTATAATAATAACGTAAACTAAAATCATCCTTAACGGACTCTAAAACAAAAAGAAAAGCAGAGAATAATTAATTTTTTCTCAAACAAAATTTTTTAGAAACACAAAAGTCATTGTTACATATAAAATAATATTTAAAATTTAAATAATAAAAAAATATTGATATTAAAATAAAGAAAAAATTTTGAGCAATTCAATAAGAAATTTATTGCGATTATCGCATATTTAATATTATAAAATTTTAATTGCACTTATACAACAATTTAAATATATAAAAATAGATCACAGATTATAGAACAAAAAAAAATTATATACAAGCAAAATCGAAAAGGCTATAAAAACGTTTCTGAAGCACAAAATTTGTAATGTTTTCTAATTTTACAAATAAACATATTTATACTTGCATTGTTGCATTGTTATGAGCTTACAATTAGTTCTGATATTTGTTTATAAATTATTTATTTTTATTTATAATTTTGGCTTGTGTATGCTAAATGAACACTTAAATCTTTATAAATCATCTCACATATGTTTTATATTTTTTCATTAAAAGAAAATATACAATTTAGTATCATATAGAAAATGCGAGTTTTACATTTTATACTTTATATAGCACATGAATTAAGAAGACTTGTGCTGCTAAATTTCTTAATTTGTGAGCAATAATGATATTCTAAAAGTCAAATGCATTAATTAAACAGTCTGTCAGGGGGCGAATCAAGGGTAATACGGTGCCAATTTAAAGACAAAAAACTGTCAATTTCACTCAAAACAACAAACAAGAAATTATATTCCAATATTTTTGTATATGATATTAGATATTATTGCTTTTTCCATTTTTTAAACTACCAGCTGCTCTCTATATTTTTATTCCTTAACCATATGAGCATAGAGTTTTGAAATGTCAATATTTTGTTAATTTTTTAATCTTATTTTATTAAAAATTGCATCATATATGAAAATTTTTCATTTTTCTTATATATTGTATATTATTTTTTTTTATAATTTTAATATTGTACATTGAAAAAGTTTTATAATTTATTCTTATACAAGCTTTAATCAAGAACGCATATAGATAATAGCGAATATCTCTTCCATTCATATTAATTACAAAATTAAAGCATTTATTATATTAAAATATACCCAAAAATAACACTATGGTTCTATTAGCTGTACACAATTTTTGAAATAAAATAAAAATTTATAATAATTATTAGAATAATCTTGTGAGTCATTAAAGTTGGTTAACTTTAAATTTTGAAAAAAAAAAAAATACTCAAGGAACAACAAAATTAAAAATTAATTAATAAAAATAAATTTAAAATATATAAAACAATTACAAAAAACATGTAGTGAAATATTATAGGAAAGAGGCATTATTTAAAAATGTATGGGTACATACATTCAATTTTGGTGGTAAACTGAAATTATATTCTAAAAATTTAAGTAATTTGAGTCTTTTGAATACATAATGTCATTCAAATTCCAAAAACATTTTCAAAGCATTTTTGAAAATATAAAAAAAAAAAACATGAAATTGTTATACATATTTGAAATCAAAAATTTTGAAATTTTTTTTTCTGTTCTAAATGTAGAAAAAATTTAATATATTAAATCGAAATAATTAATTTAATTTCGAATAAATTAGAATTATTATTTCGAAGGATTTAGTCCATCCAAATTGGACTGTTATGCCAATAAATTAACAAAATAAAAATAAAAAAGAATTACACAAGAAATTAATATAGAAAAAATACATTTTTACAAAAGTAAGTAAATATAAATTATAATCCAAGTTATATAAACATGCTTCAAAAATAATAAATATTAATATAAGAACAAAAAAAATATTTCATAAATAATATTAAATAAAATAAACACATGTATATATGAATGTGTAAAATTTATGCATTAAAATAAAATAAAATATATAAAAAAACAGAAAAACCCTAAAGAATCGCGAAACTTTAAAATATTATTATATTAGTTTATAGCAAAATATATAGTTATATAAAATAAAATGAAATAAATTAATGAAATATTGAAAAAAAAAAATATGTATTTTTAATATAAATTCATTGAACATAAAATGCAAAAGAAACAAAAAAAGAAAAAACATAATTTAATAAATAAAAAGATACACACATAAACACAGAAAATAATCAATGTAATTTTTTTAGATAAAATATTTAAAATAAAAATTGAGAAACAAAAAATAAAAAAAATTAAAAAAAAGAGGAAAAACTTGAAACCAGAAAAAAAAAAACAAAAAAAAAATGGGAAATAAATTATAATGTGTAACATTTTTTAATTAATTTAAAATGCGTATATTATAAAAATAACTTAAAAGAAAAATTGTAAAATTAATAAAAGATATTAAATTATTATTAAAATGTATATTTCAAAAGAAATTCAAAGTTGTCGTTTTCATTCTATATAATTTTAGAATTTCCGACGCAACGCTATAAGTATTACGATCAATCAAATAAAACTATACCAAAAAATATCGAAAATTTTGTCTAAAATCTATAATGCAAAACAGGAAACTAGTTTTTTGTTGGTACATTAAGTTAATATGTGTTGGTACATTAAGTTAAGGACCTGATCGTCTATCTCGCTATTTTACTCGGTAAGTGAAAAGAAAGTGAGTAACTATCACATACTTGTATAATGTAATTTTTAAGTGAGAAGAATTATTCCGATTGCGTATCTCGTTTTTTTTAAACCTGTGTGCAAATTTTTTTCACTTTGTTTTTGGAGGTGAAATATTCAGTCGATAATTTGGGAAAAAATGTAAAAATCCAATTAAAAAAATGAATAATTTTATTGGAAAAGTGAAAAATCAATTAGAAAATACTGAGAATTCTGATTTGAAAGTGAATAAAAAGTGAGTAAAAAAGCGAGGTACGCGATCAGGCTGCAAAAATAGAGCAAGAACGATTTTCCGCTGCCAAATATCGAAATAAATATAGAAAATAAATTATAATACAGGTATTATAAATGGGACGGCTCAGAAAGAAACGAATATATAGAAGTGGATTTTACCGTCGTCAGTAAAATAGCTTAACAACCCATTTTACCACTTGCGGTTTTTCTGTTATTTCATCTGTTTCCATGAATGTGTTACATTATATGCAAAATAATGAACAGTTTATTTTGCTATTCGGCTCCACCGGTTTGGTTTTGTTCTTATCAATTTACAAATTAAAACGTCAAAGTGTTGTGAAGAAAAGCTCCATTTCATATACATAATAAAATAAACTAAAGTAAATAAAGTGGAGAATTTTTAATTGTAGTGCAAGTCTTAAATAAATTTTCAAAAGTGAGGTAGTTTTTTAATAATTGATGCCTCGAAAATGTAGTATGATATTTTGAAATGAGAGCAGAACATACATAAGTAGTTCGTGATGAAGCAAAATAAAAGAGCAGAAACAAATTTTCTTTTTTCGCAAGAAAAAGTTTCATTTTTAAACTTATGATGTAGAAAGAGAATTACTTAATTGATAAACTTCACAGCTAAAACGATTATTAATATCTGTCAAAATATGGAACAAAAGTTGACAATAACAATTGTTGGTTGACCAAATGTTACTGTTTTTGTAAAAAAATTAAATATATTATTTTTGGTGAAACGTAAATTATTTCTTTTTAATTTTATTTTGTTTTTCTTTTTAATTTAACTAATTTCTCTTCTAGTATCAAGGTTTTTATTTGATTATGTTCACGTATGTACAAAATATTCTTTGCTTGTTCTAAATACATACATACTATGTATAAATGTTTGAAAGGCTTCTTTGTGAAATATTCCCACATTTTTGTCTAAAATATTCCATGAACAAACTGTTTTTATTGATTTATTTGTAAATGTCAAATATGATTGACACTTGTTAGATTTCCATTTTTGTTTATTGTTTGTAATCAAATTTGTAATTGGCTTTGTGTTTTTTTAATTCATAATTTTAGGATTAATATAATTTTGCAATAAAATTATTTCTTTAAAGTCAAAGTTTACGACTCATTATATATAATGCTAGTATAAAATTTACACCTACAACTCGTTTGATTAAAAAAGAATGAATGTACTTACATATCGAATTTAATAATGACGAAGGCTATTGATATAAGGACCGAATGGTCTCGTGAATTAAATGTTGAATTTATAAACGATTATAAAAAGTTAAAAGTAATATGGGATCCAAAACTGCGGCATTTAAAAGCTGACAGAATTCACGCTGTGAAGAGGTAAGTATATTTCTCATGATGAAATTAAAAATGAAACCATACGTAATCATTTTCTAATAATTTTAGTTTATGTGAAAAATACAAACTTACACCGGATGAAGTGCGTGGAAGAATTAAAGTTCTTAGAACAAGTTTTCATAGAGAACATATTAAGGTTCTCAAGAACTCAAATTCAGATGAACCATATGCTCCGAAATGGTATGGATATGAATTAATGAAATTTATAATTGATGATGCAGGAAAATATGAGAGAAAAGTAAAAAATGAAACAGACGACTCATTTCATATAAGTGATGCGACTATTTTTGACATAAACTTTTTAAATTATGAGCAAGTAAGAGTCTTAAATTTTTAATATTTGTATAGACAATAAAGTCAATTAATTTAAACATTTTTTTAGTTAAAACATAAAGAAAGTGATTCCCATACTAATATTGAAAATGGTAGTCACGAACACGATCCAGAATTAATTACTCAACCTGATATAGATGACATGGGTGAGAAAGCAATTTTTAAATCTCCAAAATATTTTAGAAAAAGTGACAATAAAAGTGGCTCCGAAGATAAACCGCAAGAAATTACAGTTAAATGCGATAACTTACTATTCAATTCCAAAGATTGTATAGACCTAAATAATGACGATTTAAATGCTTCTGTAAACAACAGTAATTCGAGTACTAACACAAATATGGAAGAACTTGAAAAGTCATCTTACAAAGTTACCAAAGTATGCACACCAAATCTTCGGGAAGGTAATTGTTCCGATCTTCCTATTTGTCATTGCCATTGGAATAATAGAGATAGGGATGAATTTGTAATTTTTGGCGAAAATGTTGCAGTGACATTGAAAAATTTAAAAAATAGTAAAAGTAAAATAATAGCAAAACATATGATAAACAACATACTATTTGAAGCCCAAATGGGAAAATTCGACCAATAACGAACACTTACTTATTTCAGAAATTTTTAAAGTTAATTTTAAATTTTATAAGAGGCAAATATAGTTAGTTATGTTTTAAGATAAAGTACTATAGAAAAACTAGACAATAAAAGATTACTTAAAAATATTTTATTTTTTTTTCATGAAAATTATATATTTTATATTCATTATCCATTATATGGGTTTTAGAATAAAAACAAAAACAAAATATAAAATTATTTAATCTATACATACATTTTTGGAGATATATTATTTAAATTAGGGGCACCCCAGAGAAACATATTCACCGCTGATAAAATAATACAGTTTAATACATTGCCATAATTTGCTTTAAATCCTTATTTAAATGTTCATTATCCCATGTCATTTCAGGATTATCTAAATGGTTATCGAAATCGATTATATCTTTCATAGCTCCTCGTTTTAACAATGATGATACAGCATCTAAGGTTGCCTCAGATTGATCTAATAAAAATGCAGTTTTTATCCATCTGTTATCAATATTCTGGAAAACTTTTATAGCTTCTCTTTCACAGGCTAACGTTACAAGTTTGTTATCAATCATAATCAAACATGAGTTCGGATAATTTTCATTGATTTTGTCAGCAATTTTTAGCCCTGGACATCTTTCTACAGAAAATTCATTGAAATTTTCAGGTGCACAATAATAACCAGCTATTTGAAGACCTTCTTCATTTGCATACGCCTCAACCTAAAATCGATTTTTGAAATTATATTATAGGTTAAGATGAAAGGTTATCTTAGTGAATTATTTGAAAACTTAATGAAAATCTTACTTGTAATAAAGCAATCTCAGCCATTGGTGAAACAAATAGGCATTGGTGGAATAAGGGAACTGCATCAACAATTTTAAATTTTTTATTTTCTGAAGAATCTTTTTCAGATAATAACAATCCATTCACTGCACAATGTGGATACTTTGCTGCATGGAACATCATTTTAGTATACGCACGAGATGTAATTTTATATTCACTCATTTTGTTTTAAAATATGTATTTTTAATATTAGTTTTATAATTTAAAGTTAGTTGAAACGAAACCTATGATTTGTCAATTTCAATATATAAATTGCTGTCATTTCAATTTGTCAAGAAAATGAAAGCGTTCATAAAAAGTCTTTGAATTGTGACAAAAATAAGGTTTATGTCTTTGATAAAATATTTTGACACATTTTTAAATAAAGAATGTTATTTTTTTAACTCAATTATTTTAAATAAAATCAAATGTAAAGTAGTTCGACTTGTTCCATTCCGTTAGTTTTCGTTTGCATTTTGTTTCCAAATTCTAAAAATATTCCATTTGTAATTAGAATTAGATGGTAATAAAAGTTGTTTAGGCAAGAAGAAAACAAAATATTGTAAACAAACGAGTGTATTCAAAAACATAGAACTGAAATAACATTTAATTAAGTTAGGTAAAAATTTTGTTATTTTTATTTTGATAATAACAAAATTTATTTTTCCTTTTATTAAAGTTAGGTAAAAAATTCGAATGTATGAAAGCAAAAGAGTTTGAAATTTGATGTATGAATGTACACATGCATGTACCTTTTACAGTAGATACACAGTATCAGGTAGTGACATAGAAATAAAGTAATTTATAAAGAAAAAAGATGTATGCACACTGATTAATACTTTATGAAATATAATCATTACCGATTCATTTAAACACTTTTTTAACCGCTTCGCTTTTGTAACATGAATACAAAAATAAGACTCCCGCTTTTAAAATTCTTGATATTTTTTCCTATACTTTATATAGGGAAAAATAAATAACTCCCGCTTTTAAAAATACATTATAAAAAAACAGGTAGACATCTATTGCGTACTTTTTCCCTCTCCCAAAAATTCTTATGTGGATAAAAATGAAAATTAGAAGGTATACTGCTTAACTCTTTTAGCTAAGGGAATTTTTTGTATACAAATATTGGTGAGGATTGCATTAGTGTGATGTAAACGGGGAGTCGAATTACTTATTAATAGATATATTTTGGTCTCAACACCGAAAGAGAAATAAAAAATTTTAAAAACTCCCCATATGTGCCAGTTTTCCCTATAAGCATTTTGGTAGGTAAAGCGTGTCAAAAAGATATGTGCGAAAATTAATTATTATTTTATTTTTATATTTTAAATTTAAATCCAATTGAATTCTATTTTTTTTATTTCTTTTAGAATGACATCTCTATCTCCTGTAGCAGGAACTTCCAGTGCCACAAGTATAAGCATTTTTCTTTACTTCTATATATAAATTATATATTAATTTATTTAACATATATTTTTAGTTAATCAAGGCAACCACTAAACGCAGGCGAAGAATATGACTTCATATTTAAAAGGTATGAGTAGTAGTTATATTTGGTACATCAGGATAATGCAAATTTTCTTTTTCAGAAATACTTTTTATTATGACACATATAAATACAGGGCTTTCCACAAGAAAAAATGCCCTGCATTTATAAATGTCTTTGAAAATGGGGCAATTAAAAAAGGGGCCGACCATAACCATGCCCACAATTTTCAAATGCATGACGCGGTGGTCGAAGAGGCCATAATAAAAATGTCATATTAAACATTATATTATAATATAATCATATTGAAAATAATTTTTTTCTTATGTGCAGGTCATTATGGATGTCACGTCCCGTATATTTTATATGATTCAGGTATGTCGGAAGGAAATAGCATTCTTATTTTTGCCCATAAAGAGATGGGTGTCGGCTTAGAGTCAGCCGATATTTGAATGGCAGACGGGACGTTCGCGGTTGCTCCCCAACAGTTTTGCCAATTGTATGTGCTGCAATTTGTAAAAAACGATATTATGCAGCACATGCGGCAGTTTTTGGGCTGCTAACTGGTAATACGGTTGAAATATACAATAAATTTTTTGAAATAATAAAAGAAAAATTAAAATTAAGTAATAGAAGTCGGGTTATGTTACTAAATATCGAGCATGCGGCAGTGTATAGTTTTAAAACTATTTTCCCACAAAGCCGAATACTAGCTTGCTTCTTCCATTTCAAGCAAGCAATAATGAAGTATCTTCAAAGACTCTTTTTGAAGACCAAATATAAAAAAGACCCTCAATTTCACAAGAACATTAAAATGTTCTTTGCACTATCAATGCTGCCTCTAGGTGACGTTAAAAAGGGATATGAGGCAGTTTCCGAAGAGTTTGCAAGGCAACTTGCCTGCAAAAGGTTTGCAAAGTATTTCCACAAAACGTTTATGTCTACAGGCCTTTTCCTTCCAGTTTTTGGAATCATAGACAATCAGTCTTAGAGGGAATTCCAAAAACTACAAATTTCATTGAAGGATGGCATAATGGATTAACTTACGGGTTTGGTTTTCGAAAGCTGCTTCTTTTCCATTTCGTAGTGATCCTGCAGAAAGAAATGGAATATCAGCGAACAAAATTCCATAATCCATTAACACCTTCAAATAAAAAGTATTCCCTATTAGAAAAAAAGCTAAAAAAATTTATCCAAGCTTATGATCCCCAAACCTCCAACACAACGTCCTTTCTTAAAGCTGTCTCCTACGTTGTTTAATTGTATTCCTTTTTACCAAATTCACAATGTTTGTAATTCGCTTATTTTCCACTTTCAGTCTAGTAAACGGTGCGCTGCTCTCGAAATCTTCCTTAAGCTGTAAAACATATAATGAATCAAGACAACAGTCTTATTAAAATAGTGTTTATTCAGTGCACTTACATTAACAGCCAAATCTAAAGCTTAACGAAATTTAGCCACCTAACATATGCAGACCATGACGGTCGGGTGGACATTGGCGCTAGGACTACTGATGATATTCTATATAAATATATAAAATTAATTATAATGACGTATAAATAAAATTTTGTTTCAAGAATTTACTATAGCAGTTTTATTGTATACAAAACAAGCACAACAAAAACGAAAAAAAAACCCGTAACAACATTAGACGTTTGAGAGATTTAATTTTATTCTCTTATGTACATTTAGTCAATAATTTTCATTTGTAGGATCAACATCTTTATTTATTTTAAAATAATTTTATACAAAAAATAGAAAAAAAAAGAAAAATGATCGTGATTACAATTATTTCATATATACTGTTTTTAATCGTATATTCAATGGGTTGTAATGAGGAAATATATACCGCTAAGGAATTATTAGAAGATATAAATTCTAATTTAGATATAAATGTTGATCCTTGCGAGGATTTTCAACAATATGCTTGTGGAAATTTAACGAATGACAAATATTCTCCATTAAGTTCAGGATATGACAATAATTTAAATTTTCAAGAAATAATAAACAAATTTTTCGGTAATAGCAGCTACCAGAACAATAAATATCATAAGGCGGATTCAATTGATGAGAATTTAAAAAAATTATATACACTATGTCAACATAATTATACATTTAATGATATAGTTGACGAATTAATACCTGAAGAATTTAAACCAATTTCAACATTAGAATTGATGCTTGATAATGAAAAAAATGATACAGTGTCATTAGAAACAATTGCTTACTTATTAGGAATGTTCAGTCAAATATCTAAAATTATGAAAATTGATGTAAATCATGATGAACATCAATTAGTTCTTCAAACATTTGATCGTATTCATTATACATCATATATAGAATGTAATTTTAATAGTGATGAAAAATTAAATGGAATAATAGAATTTTGTGATAAATTAAAAATATTATTTGAAAATTATAATTATATGGATTATGATAAAAATTCAATTAAAATTGGTGGATTAAATGGTTTAAAATCATTAATATCAGAATTTCCTTGGCATGAATATTTTAAAGGAATTTCAAAAATATCTGGTATTAATCAAAATGAATTTAATGAAATTGATATTATTATTGAAAATTATCATTTAACAAAGAATGTAATTAAATTGTTTATAGAAACTGATAAGCAAATATTATTTAATTATTTTATATTAGATTTTAAAGTTCTTATAGAAAATTTCAAATGTATTGATGTAAATTATATATATTTGCCGGTTATATTACGTAATTCATGGGAAAATATTGATTTAAGTCTTTTTCAAAAATATTTAGATGATTTTCAGTTATTTCTGAAGAAAATGGAAAATCTATTAAAATTTAATTTAATTTATAAATATATTGATAGAAGAGTTAGTGAAACAAGGGAATTCATTAATAATTACAAAATATTATTTAAAAGTAATAAGAAAACAAAGAATTTCTATGAAAATTTTTATAAAAAATTTTACATTGATGAAAATATGAATTTGTTAAATATATTAAGAGCTACTTCATTAAAACTTCAATATAATTTGCCATTAATTAAAAATCCTATTTTAATTGATCGTCTTCAAAATACATTTTTTAATAATTTACTATATCACAGTGAAAAATACTATAAATATATTATAGATTATACTGTTGATAAATTATTATTAAATTATTTGACTTTCAATACTATAAATCATTTTAAGAATTTATTTGAAAGAGGTGACACATTTTATTATAGTCATTGGAGCAAATATGATAAATTTTCAAGTGATTGTGCTATTAATAATCAATTTGTAATGAATAATTTTAATGATAATGAAAATAATGATGATAATTTAAATATTAAAACTTATAATAATGTAACAGATTTAATTAGATTTATAAATGAATTTGCTGCTTTAAAAATATCTTATTTAAATTTTCAAAATTGGATCATATTTGATTATGATAATAAATATGAAAATTTTGCAAAAAGTTTTAATGTTAATTATGCTAAATTATATTTTATATTAGCAATGCAACAGCAATGTAAAACAGATAATAATAAATCAATTCAAATATTTTTAAATATATTAAAATATACTGATGAATTTTCGACGACATTTGATTGTTCTATTGATAAGAAAATGAATCAATTAAATAAAAAAATATGTTATAGTTGTTATGAGGAAAATTATAACAAATTGCAATTATTACCATATAATTTTGTTTGTGCACCAATTAATAAAAATAAAAATGAAAATAATATTATTGGATCATATGAAAGTGATAATAGATTAGGAATATCAGCGGAATAT